GCTTGGGATCTTGCTGGAAAGGTCCTATAGTAATAGAGAGCTTAATATAATTGACATAATGCCATTTGCAAACAAGAGCATCTGGAGAATCTTACCACTACAGAAAATTCCTCTCCTCTTTTGTACTCATGTAGGACTTCTTTCATAAAAATGATAGACACCTTTGGTGAACATTATGCCTTGTTCCTTATTGATAATCAGAGGATAGCTTTAAAATGTAATTTGTTGTGGTTATAACTATGAAGGAGTCTTGTATAATCTAAATACATGAAACATGGGGGAAAAATTTCCTATCAACTATATGAAAAATTAGCACTTAGCTTGTAAATACTAAGATGTATCATGCCCAGCACCTAGATGAGTTATATCACTTACTATCTAAACATTTTCCATTAGGTCTCTCCAAATTCCTTTTTGGAAAGAAAATGAGCAAGGGGGAAAAAACCATTTTGTAGTTACAATACACCTAAGAGAATAGTAAAACCTAAGCCCTAAGAATAAGAAATAGATGATCTCCTGGAGCCATGTGTTCATTGACTCCCAAAAGGCCCTCCACCACAGCAATATCTGGTGATTTTTCATCATAAATTTAAGTAGAAAACATTTTCCATTTCATGTGCATCTTGAAACAGAAGTATACAATGGAGGAAGTGGTGCCAAGTAATAGAGCCTCTGCTACGGGGAGCTAAAGCCTAGATCTCAAATTCTTATTTAATGTTTTGGCATTTGTTGTACTTTTCCCACCTACAAGTTCTCTCTTTAATATGAACTATACATTAAAATTAAAATCTTAAACTAAATGACAGACATGTTCTTTCATCTTTTCAACCTCTAGGGGGAACTGTGTTTTCAGCAATCCTTTCCCCAGGAGGCATTCTGTGAATGAGCTGCAGGCTTCATAAAGATGTTCTTCAGTGTTACTTGGAGCTGGTCAAATGAAGGGCGGAGGCCTTCCTTAAGAATTGAAGCTGGCTGCAATGTTTAACAATTACAGCTGTGATTCCAATGATGAGTTACTGGAGAGACAGTAACAATTGGTGGAGACAACTAATCTGTTTCTAATAGCCTTTAAAAATGACATCTTTGATAATTTCTATGGAATAATAGCTTCAAATGTTTAAATTATGGCAGGAAGGACATAGTATTGCCATAGTAGATAGTGTTTTGTTTTCATAGGTTCTCAAACAAATGATCAAATAGTCATTAGATAAGTTGTTACCCCAGGCTTCTGGTTTCATGATTTAAAATGTTATACACAATTAATTAAATGATTTCTAAACTTTATGACATTACTATTCATTTGTGTGACAAATTAAATTTGGAGGCTGCATAAAGTGTTAAAATAGGTTTTTTTCCTCCCATAATTAGTTTTATTCTGCTTTGGAGCATGTTCTCAACATCTATTCTACAGTTTCATATACCTTTCTGACAGGAGAGAAAAATATGTTCTTTCTCATTTGAATGTTTTAAACAATTTCAGATGAGCAGTATTTTAAGATTGGATCCTTCACGGATGTTAACATTTCTATTTTGTAAGTAATATTTGCCATTCATGTAATAAACATAGAACAACATCCTGTCACAACATTATATGGCTTTTTAAGATCTGCGAAGTGATTTACATATATTATCTCATTTGAGCCTCATAACAACCCTGAGAAGTAGATACTATTATTTTTCCCATCTTACAAAGGAGGAAACAGATAGAGGGAGGTTAAGCAATCTGCCCAAAATCACCAGCTGGTATTCATTTGAGGCAGGACTCCATGTCCAGATTTGACCTTCTCAATTCTGATTACAGAGCTCTATCCACTGTGCTGTCTAAATGTTCTATGTATTATGGTTGTTGTTGTTGTTTTGTTTTTTATAAGTGGGAATCACTACTCCTTGAAAGCATCATTACAAGAGAGCTCCATTATATACAAAAGATTGTCTATTCTTTTACATGTTGGAATTTAGTTTATATAACATAATTTGGCTCACATACCACCTATCAACATATAATTCTAAATCTTCTCCATGGTCAAATGGTCAGTATGTGTCCAAGGCAGGACTTGAGTCCAGTTCTTCTCAACTCCAAGGCCATACCTCAATCCAGCTAGGTGATGCTCCCTGTTTAAAACATGCAGGCTGTGGGAACACAGACAAGTTACTTAACCATTCAATATCTACTGGGAGTAGAATCCCAGTCCAACTCTGTAACTATAAAAGAGAGACATATTACTCATCTGAATAGGTGGAGAGAGTTTCTGCACTTGAAGTGGCTCACAGATCAAATCACAGATTTAGACCAGTAAAACATCTAATAATTCTCAGAATATGAAAATGAACATGGAAATTATATTTAGAATTTTCTCACTACACAAAGATTTGGGGGCTATTCCCTGATATATCAGGGGATGGGACTAGATGATTTCTAAGATCCATTCTAGTTTTAAGACATGGCTTTAATAGACATATAATGACAGGTCATATTTATACACTGATATTTATGTTAATTTTTACTGGTTTCCAAATACTAATCTTACATGAAGTACACTAAAATGTACATACTTTATCAATGATATTTATAATTAGTCCTTTTTATATAATTTTATGACAATTTCCATTTGACAAATACTGTTGATAATTTCTCTTCTTTAATGTTTTCTGAGGAGTGTATTGAAAAGCAGGAAATTAAATAGTATAAACTATTCTTGTTTCATTATTTGGTTTATTGGAGTATAATATGCAAATTTTCTCCTTAATTTCTTTTATCTTTTAAGTTCCTTTAAAAGTTCACAGATGGGTTATACACTGAAAATGAGGCATTCCAATTCCAAGCCCAAATACTGAAAGCTCCATATTAAACTAAACTTAAATGCACTGCCCTGACAGTGACCTCCAGGCTAAACTGAGAAGACCATCTGTAAAGTGAGAGGCAATTCATTGGTGCCATTTAAACCCTGGGTCTCTCTCTTTTAGACTTGAGCAACAAACTCTGGAAAATTACTTTGCCTTTGACTAAATTCACCCTACAAACTCATAAGAGGAATAATAGGATACTTTATATTCTTTAGGATTCGATTTAAAATGAGAAATTCATTCAACCTGGGACTCAGTTGTTTTCCTTTAAAAATACTATGCCTATATATCCCAAAGAGATCAAACAAATGGGAAAAGGACCCACATGTACAAAAATATTCATAGAAACTCTTTTTGTGGTGGCAAAGAATTGGAAATTGAGAGGATGCCCATCAATTGGGGAATGGCTGAGCAAGTTGTGGTATATGAATGTAATGGAATACTATTGTGCTATAAGAAATGATGAACAGGCTGACTTCAGAAAAACCTGGAAAGACCTATACGGTCTGATGCTGAGTGAAGTGAGCACAACCAAGAGTACTTTATACACAATAACAGCCACATTATGCGATGACTAATATTGTTAAACTGAACCCTTCTCAGCATCACAAGGTTCTAAGACATCTCCAGAGGCCTCAGGATGGAAAATGCTGTCCACATCCAAAGAAAGAACTATGGAAGTCTAATCACTATCACTTATTTTTACCTTCTGTTGAGTTTTGTTTCATCTTTCTGATGGTTCCTCCTATTGGTTTTAATTTTTACTTACAACTTCACTAATGTGAAAATATGTTTAATAGGAATGTAAATGTAAAACCTATATCAGATTGTTCGCCATCTTGGGGAGGGTGGGGGGGAAGAAGGGGGAGAAAAATTTTCAACTCAAAAGCATATGGAAGTGATTGTTGATAAATCAATAAATTAAGAAAATTGGAAAAAAAATTTAAAAATGCTATGCCTAAAATTGTCTAATATAGGGCATTTTCAATTATTCAGTTGTGGATTTTGTCCAGGTACTACACTTGGGGTGGGGGGCATGAGGAGGATGGGTGCTCATTCAGTTGTATAGCGAACTCCCATTGTAGAAACTCTTTCTACCTTTACTAATTGACAACTTCTCTACAATTAGTTTGACTGAACTGTCTGGGGTACAAAGCTATAAATTGAACTGCCCGTGATCACACTGATAGAACATGTTAGGGGCAAGGCTTAAGCCAAATGTTCTTGACTCTAGGGCCAGCTCTCTAGCCTCTCTTGCTATTAAATATTAGGTGAAATTAAAATATTTTAGAATTCAGTCTATTTTCCTGACTTTTAAGTAGTTTTTAAATGTAATATGTCTAATTTTCCCCCAATTACATGTTAAAACAATTTTAACATTTATTTTTAAGTTTTGAGTTCCAAATTCTATCTCTCCCTCCTTCCCCTCCCCCTCCCTGAAATATATATGTATATATAATGTATATATATATATGTATATATATATATATATATATATTAATAAGAGATTCCAAAGGAGTAGGAGACAGGATCTTAAAGTTAGATTCTGAGATTACATTTCTATTAACTTAAGCATACTTTCTATTCTTTCAGTTAGCATAATGAAGAGTTGTATTTATCAGTTCAGCAAGAGAAAAAAAGAATTATCCGGAAGCAATTATAAATACAAATGCACACAAAAATTCTAGATTGGGAGATAAAAATGCAGAGCCTGGTGCAGTGGTGCAAAAGTTACCAGCCTTATTCATTTTCCTGCCGAAAGAGGGCGTTTTCCTGGGCGTAATATGGGAGAAAAGCTTTATGTTTCTTTAAAGTTAAGTGAAAGTATTCAAACGAAGTTCTGATAGTTTGTATTTTTCTAATTTGTGGAATTTAAATGTTTTTAAGTCTCATAGATGTAGTGAAGTATGTGACCCAAACAAATAATGTTTTATGTGTACATATACCAATAATAAGAATGCCGAATTCTCTTTGAATATGCATGGAAAAGCAAGAATTTTCGGACGACAGCCACTCCAACTGACTTGTATGAAATCCTTTCCATTCCTGCCTATTGACTTGCAAGAGATCAGGACTTCAGACCTGTTACCTTTCTGTTCTTCAGGGAGCTGCACCCTCCTTTGGAAAGGCGGGGGAATGGAGGGTCCCAAACTTACTTTTCAATTTGTGCCCATAAAGTCCTCAGGACGTTTTTTGGGCGGTTTGCAAACATTTGTCATGTTCCAATGGCCTGTGGACAAGCGGAATCGCGGAAAGGAAGTCTCCCTTTGCACGCAAGAAGTTTCGCTTTCTTCCCCCGCGCAACTTTTCTTTCAGAAAGCGCTCCTTGCTTTCACTTGGTCTACAGACCTGGGAAGAACGTATGCTTAAGAGAAGCGGCCGCGCACTCAAGGACCAGAAGGAAGGCAGCAACTGCATAGGTGGAAGAGAAGTGTAAGTGGGGGAAAGAAGGCGCAAGGAAGTTTCTGTCGGCAGAGCGCAGGGTGTAGGCCGACCGCCAGAAATTGGGCTTGGCTAGCTTGTGTCCCAGATGTAGTGGACGCCAGCACACTGGAGACGTCTAGTTGACTTCAATCTATGAAAGCAAACTTCTTTCTTTGGGCGCCTCAGCCTAAATGTCAAAGACCTCGCAGCCTCAGTGGAGCTCTGGATAATAGAGATAGATAGTGGGCAGCATACCTCAGCCTCCGCACTTAGACCTCCTTTAGTGCCACTGCCTGAAAGAGAGGGAAAGGAGAGCGGGGGAAAGACGAGAGCGCGCGCGCTCTGCAGTGGAGACCCCCGAAGTTTCCATGCCAGTAAAAGTCAGACGGGATCTTGGTTGGTTTGTTACGTTTGCTAGGCGCTTGTGTGCTTATTTGCAAATTAATTTGTTGTGTAAGGATCTTTAGTCAGTCGCCTTTGAACTGAAATGGTGGCGTCTGAATTGAGCTGCTGTGTATTGGAGCGAGTTGGGGAACAGAAAAGGCGCGTGTGCACTGTGGGTATGAACTGAGGGTAGATGAGTGAGTGTGTACGTGTGCTGCAACTTTAAGAAAAAGGTCGGGGTGGTGGGTGGATTGAGGTTGGGGAGGAGGGAGGGAAGGGGTGTGGGGAGGAGTCCTGATGTAAGAATGCTAATGAGAGGCTCCCCTCCAACCCCCCGCCAACCCCCCACCCTACCCGCTCGAAATACAAACCCGTTCTCGCAGCTCCATGTGTGGTAACAGGCTCCTCCGCTACCACACTATTTAAACAGAGGATATGTATCAAGGAACAAGGGAGAATCAATGAGATCAAACGGGAGACAGATGCTCCGTCAATTACAATCACTTGGACAAGTTTAACTTTTTTTTTTGCAAGCATTCTTTCAAAATCAACCTCAACTACGTCCAAAAAAAGAAGTCACCTCTGGGCAAAATAGTATGTAGGAGGAAAGAGAAATATCTATATAACATATTACAGGGTCATAGATATAAACTTCAAAAAAAACCTGGTGACATTCAGAGAAGGGCCCTTTTTTCCCGTCACTTGACGGTAGAAGTGGAATTCTGTTTTCTTAGGGCACCCAAGGGGGCGCAGGGACTAAGGAGATAGAGGAAAGGGAAAGGGAGAAGGAGGAGGGTGGTGGGAAGAAGAAAGACTAAGGTGAGTAGAAGAAGTTGCACTTCAGCGCAATGCCATCCTTTTTGTTACTCAGTTTCTCTTCTTGCGCTGTGCTCAGTTGGGCGCTCCTGGCAAGCGGCGGCAGCAGCAGCGGAAACCCAGGCGGCGGGATCCCTGTGGTGGAAGAGACGCAGAAGATTGAGGTTCTGGTGCTTCTACCCAAGGACAATGCTTACATGTTCTCCTTGGACAGGGTCAAACCGGCCATCGAGTACGCGCTGCGTAGCGTGGAGGAAAATGGAACTAGGCGACAGCTGCTTCCACAGGGCTACAGCTTCCAGGTGGACTATCAGGACTCACATTGCGGCAATCAGGCACTCTTCAGTTTAGTTGATCGAGTGGCAGTGGCCGGAGGTCTAAACCAGACTTGATCCTGGGCCCCGTCTGCGAATATGCGGCAGCACCTGTGGCCCGGCTGGCGTCGCACTGGGACCTGCCCATGCTGTCTGCTGGAGCTCTTGCCGCCGGCTTCAAGCATAAAGAGAGCGAGTTCTCGCACCTTACCCGTGTCGCACCCGCCTACGCCAAGATGGGAGAGATGATGCTCGCCTTGTTCCGGCATCACCAGTGGAGCCGAGCTGCCCTGATCTACAGTGATGACAAGCTGGAGCGGAACTGTTACTTCACCCTGGAGGGGGTCCATGAGGTCTTCAGGAGGAGGGTTTGCACACATCCGCCTACAGCTTCGACGAGACCAAAGCCCTAGACGCTGAAGAGATCGTGCGCTACATCCAGGCCAGTGAGAGGGGTGAGCTAGCCCTCTCCCATCCCGCCTCCCAACCCTTTCTATTCTACTCCCTGAACGTTGTAAGGACACCCCAACTTTTTCCCACTTTCCCTGGCGTTGGGGATGTGGAAAGGGGTGAGAGGAATGGAGAAAGGCAAGTGTAACTGCAGAAGTCCAAGCACTTTCAGCTTGGGGACGAACTTTTTCCACTGGCCCATGTATCAGCTTCCCCACCTCCTTGGTAGAGGACGAGGGAACGTGTAAGGGCATAGAGGGGAGGAGGTAGGGAGATAGGAAGGAAATCTATTCTCTCTCCTTCCCTAGGTCTGGGGAGGGGAGGAGAGAAGTGAAAAGACTGGAGGGTTTTCCGGTCTGGTTCTGACTACTTCTCTTGGCTTTCTCCTTTCCCTTCCTCTCCCTTATAGTTTGTGCAGTGTTTGATTAGCTTTTCTAATGCCCCGTTTTAAGTGCCCCCCCATGCTTGTCATGCTGTTGTCCCATTTCCCTTACTCTTCCGGTTACTATTCTATTTCCTTTAAAAAGCTCTATTGTATTGATTTTTCCTCATTCATCTCCTGGGTCCTCCTCCCTTCTCCCACCCCCAGCCTCCTTGTAAATACGTTTCCAGGGTTTACACTCAAAATGCGTCCTGCGTCCTGGTAGCTATCTACATCCCTTTTAGATTCCTGAGTGTTTCCATCCCCAAAGCTCCCAAATAGGGGCAGCTTCAGGCCCCGTGCTTGCTGGAGAATCACTCGGAGTTTGAAGCTTGTATCCACGTGGTTCCAACCGTAATAATAATTTGCTTCTTAAAAAATACAGTAAATGCCGAAATAGGCAAGAGGTGGGAAATGGTTTGCGTGAGGTTGGTAGCTGCGAGTGAGAAAAGAAGGGAGTTAAATTTCCTATCCACTAAATTTCAGGGCAGTCAGTGAGATTTCCCAGGGAAATCAGGCAGGGTGCCTAACCATATCTGGATAAGGGCGCAATGCGCCAAGGGGATGCCGTCAGCTAGTTCCAGAATGCTACCTCTCCGCCCTCCCCTTACGCCATTGTGCCTGGAATGTAGGTGGTGAAATCTTGGTACTCGCAGCCCTGGGAACGAGACACGTGAGATTCAGGCACTCTAGAGGTGCGTGAGCTGGCAGACCGATTTACCGGGGTGGAAAGGGCTGTTCCGCGCACCTGACGGCTTGGCTTGGGGAGCGTAGGCGGACAAGTAAGCACAGGCGCGTGGCCTGGAGAAGTCTCTGGCCAAATCTCCATACTTTGTCACCCAGAATCCGAAACAGGTGGGAGGGTTGCGAGAGCCGGAGGCGGCAGTTTTAGCGGTGCAGTTTTTCAGCTTAATGTAGGTGCTGGGCAGATGGGCCCCCTAGTCTAGGTGGAAGAAGGGGAGGTTCTGCGATTGCGAAATACGTGCCCAAAATCAAGCTTTTCCATGCACTTCTGTCCAGGGCCTGCCTAGCGCTGCCCCGGGTTATTGACGTATGGAGTTAAGTGAACGCTTAAGCCTTTACGGTATAGCATTGAGATACATACATATATGTACAATACATACATACACATACACACATTTACATATCTCACACACACACCCATTTAGCCAGGACCATGGGCCGACAGTCTCTTGGTCTGCACAAACCTCAGGCTTTCCAGATTACTCGGGATTTTTTTTTTTGCTCTGTTGCTTATAGAATAGGCATTCGGATCGAACTGCTTACAACACATTTCCTACCGGCCACACCCAGGACGTGAAAATAAACCCCTCCCCCTCTTTTCCCCACCCAGACAGGGCAGATCTCTCTCATAGCCGCATGTAGACCCAGCGTCGGGATGGGCAGTAGAGTGCTGTAGGAATAAATATGAAATCTACAGGCAGAGAGCTCTGAGCATCAGCCGAAGTGTAACTCTTCCCTCGCCGCCTGACTAGTATGAGCGGCGCCAAGCTGAACACTAGAGAGGTCAGGGAAAGGACAGATGCGTGCGTCGGACTGTCTGCGTGGATGTCAGTTGCTGGCAATGCTGACCCTCTCCGGGCTGCTGCCCAAGTTTACCTCAGATTCTCGAAATAGGCATGATTTTTTTGCCGTACAAAGGTGGGCTTTGGATGCCCCAGCAGGGCCTACTGGGGGAGTGGGAATCTCTGCGGAACATTTCCAATCACATGCGAGTAGTATAGTTCCCACTTTTAAATGCAGGTAGTAAGGGCTAGCTACCCACTTGTCCCCCTTTCTCTAGGCTCTCTGCTCTGAATCGCTGTGGCTTGGGAGCAGCTGAAGTTTTCAGTTTTAGTTAAGTGTTTCAAAAGGCTGGGGGAAAGCAGGGATAGGCAGAATAAAAGAAGATAGTGTGCTCACTGGCACATTGAAGAAGAAGCTTCCATCCTTTATTTTGTTTCCTTGGGTTTTCTCTCTATAAGAGGAAAAATGTAGTTTATTGCTTAAGATTCTAATACAAAAATGCATATTTAAATGTGGGGGCAACATGCCTGATGATTGTGGATGATTTAATGAAAGAAAAAAGGGGGGGAGTTAAAGCTCCTAACTTGAGAGATTTTGGAACACAAGAAAAAAAGTCATTAAAACACACACACACACACACACACACACACACTTACACACTATGAAAAAACAAGACACACCAGGTCCCCTTTTCCATGTGCTTCTTCCCTCTTCCCTCTCCCCCAAGGGGTTAAACAGAAACACAGGCTTTGTGCCTGGCACATAGTAGGTACTTAATAAAGCCTTGTTGGTTGGCTGATGGAACTATTTATTTGTTTTCAAAGAAAAGTCTACATATACAGAGGAAGTACTATTAAAATGTTAAGGGTAATTACTTTTCAGATTTTCATAGCATCTTTTAAAAATGTTTTCTGTAATAATAATGTAAGCAGAACATACAATGTTTAAGGTTAGCAAACAGTGTATCACCTCTTAAATCTTTAGGTCTTTAAAGATTTTATCCTAATTTTAAAGATGAGGAAAGTGAGACTTAGAGAGGTAGTGATTTGGACAATGTCACACAGAGTCAGAGGCAGCTTGACTCTCCATAGCAGCT